TGTGGCAGTCTGCTTCCATGAAGATTACAGCCTTGGAAACCCTATGGGGCAGCTCTACTCTGCCTCCAGGGTTGCTGTGACTCGGAACAGACTCGAGGGCAGTGGGTTTAAAGGATAGGAGCGGGCATTAATTCCCCAGCACCTCCAGCAAAATGAGTTCCTGACGCCAGAAAGAGCCTTGGGGCAAAGAAACGCAGGGTCGGTGCACCTAAGTGGCCAGGGCAGGTGGGGTAAGAGCTGCTCCAGAGCCTTCCCGCTGCACTAAGGTACCACACCAAGATGTGCAGAGTCCGTACTTCCCCAGACCTCACACACAAGTCGGCAACAGCATGGGGAGTGCAGGAAGACCACCCAGGTCCTCCCACCACTTCCAACTCACGCGCCCTTAAAAGCTGGTGAGGTGGATGAGAAATGGCTGCTTATCAGTGGAGAAGGTGGAAGAGAACCCAGACCAAAAAGGCAGCTTACAGGGGACATCCCTTTCCAAAGGCCCAAAAGACTCTCCGTGCGAACCACCTTTAAGAGCAGTGCGAACATCCCAACACGTCTGGACCTGAAAATAGACGAAGTGGAGGCAGGGAAGAAAAAATCAAAATCACTTAGACTGCTTCCTCAAAAGAACTCTGACTCAAAGCAGACTTTGTGTTGACTCCAGTGTGTTCACATCTTCTAGAACACTTAAGAATCTCTACGGTGGGTCTGGGGATGACTCTGAGCTCTTGTGGTGTTCGGAATTCGGCATGCACGTGTCTGACTGCCCAGTGATGCCGTGAGCAACTGGAGGGATAACCTCCTGTTTTATACAAATTCTGCACACTTCTCACAGTGCTGAGCCCACTACAGGGTCTAAAACAGACGCTCGATACTTAGATCATTTTCAGAAAACCACCCGCTATGCATGCGAGCCAGTGCAGTCATGACGTCACACAGTGAACTCTCTGACAGTGTGTGTAAATCCACCAAGGCAGATCCCGGGAAGCTGCTCAGGAAAGGACCCTGTTTAATTACAAGAAACGTCAAATATAAAAAATACCCGTAGAAAAGGGAATGCAAATAACATGCGAGAGTTGGGTATGGCCTGTGTTTCTCTCTGAGCTCCCGACAGAACAGAAGTTAGTTTAACGTAATGAAGATGCTCCTGTGTCTGAGACGCTGTTGGAGCCAGGTCCACAGTGAAATGTCGGGTATCGGTACCTACCCGTGGGCTGAGGGCTGGAGAGTCTGGAGGCGTGTTTTAAGGAGATCCAGAGGTTGAAAAAGGAGGGTCGAGCAGGTCCCACTGATGGAGCCACACAAAAACGCCTTGATCGCTGGGTGTAACTACAAGACAACAGAATGCGGTCAGCAGCTTTGCCTCAGCAACCCTCACCTTTCTCCACATCGAGACCAGCGGATTCCTCTGTAAAGATCCTCGTGGCTCCTCATGTCATCCCATGCTTCAGAGAAGGGAAGGGTGTCGCCAGAAATTAGTGATGCTGGAATGCCATGGAGGACAGTGCAGGCTGCAAGAGCTGGAGGTCCCTCGGGAGAAGCTTCTCGCTGGTCTTAGTCCTCGGGTGGTACAAATGGTTAAGGTGCTCGGCTGCTAACTGAAAGATCCACTCAGAGGTGCTTTGGAAGAAAGGCCTGGCAATCTACTTCCAAGATATCAGCCGCTGAAGATCTTAGGGAACACGGTTCTACTCCAACACACATGGGGTCACCATGAGCTGGAGTCGACTCAGAGGCAGCTGGTTTAGTCTAAGAACTTTGCTTCTCCCGAGGGACGTGTCTGTCTCCTTCTGTGAATGATGCCATCGACCATGCCTCTTTACTGTCCTACTGCCAACAGTAACTGGCTATGTTCTTAACCTCGCAAGAGCAGAATCAGCTGAACACGGTGTCTTAACTCTGGGGTTCCTGTGGCCTCGCAAGAGCAGAATCAGCTGAACGCGGGGTCTTAACGCTGGAGTTCCCGTGGCCTCGCAAGAGCAGAATCAGCTGAACGCGGGGTCTTAACGCTGGAGTTCCCGTGGCCTCGCAAGAGCAGAAACAGCTGAACGCGGTGTCTTAACTCTGGGGTTCCTGTGGCCGTAGCACCTGTAGATATTCACCACAGCCAAAGGAAGTAAAGCCGGAAGCTCAGCCGCGTGTCAAATGTGGGTGCCCCTTCCTGACAACCTGGGCATTTCCTTAGTGTAAACCTTTCCCTTTCTCTTGTGCTTGGACCATAGGCAGCTCTATGCCCCAGAGGGCCTCCTAGGTTTGCAGCCTCTCCTTTAGCCCAAGAGGCACCCCAAGAAGGGCAGGCTCCTCAAAGGCTGAATGGACCTGCCTCGAGCACCTTCCGGGGGCCTCCACTCCCAGCACTGCTGCTGCTGTAACCGGCCAGCGTCCTCTCTCCAGAACCCAGCCTCGGAACCACAGATGCAGTAAAAATTTAAAATCCAACCAGCAAACAAAAATGCCCTATTCCAAAAGCCACACTTGGCAAGTTCTGTCCAAAAAGACCTTCTCTCGCCCTCACTAGGTGAAATTTGTGCTGTCATTTTTTAACAAATGGTATACTGCTACCCTAAAATACTATAAGATGAACACAAACTTGTGTTATGTATGTCACTATCGACCCACAACTAAAATTTGTGTAATCTGTAGAATTTGGTTCATGGAGAAGAGAGATCATTCCAAATTATACCAAATGAGCAACTCAAGTTGTAACAAGAATTACTTAAAAGGCTGTTGGAAGAAGGACCAAGTAAGTTCATATAATGAAATCCTGGAGCTTATACCCACTTTCCAGTAATAGTCAAAGGTGGTAGAGTTGAAAAGACAACAGGTAAAACCCAGCAAAATCTATAGATTTCAGCAGGTCCGCAGCAGCAGCCATCTCCGCCCAAAGAGGTGCTCTGCTCTTTTGCTAACCAGCACTCCCCTCCTTCTGTGCTCCTCAGCCTCACCCCAGGCTTCGTGATCAACCAGCCACTCTCACCCACACACTTGGCCTCCCCTTCCACTGGCATCTTCTCTGCGTGCAAGCACGTCCGAAGCCTCCAGTCTTTCCAGCCTGGACTCCACACCATCTCCACTCTCTCTTTGCCCCCTCCCCCGCCTCTGCCTGCTCACCAAGGACCTGCCAAGTCCCAGGACCCTCTTCTGTCCTTAGCTTGGTGGGCCTCTCAGGTACATGAAGTGGCTGATGGCCGCTCCTCTCCGTTTCTGTTTCTGAGATACGACCCTCTCCTCCTTTCTGGCTGCCCTCTCAGTCTCCTTCCCCTGGCCTGCCCCTCACAAGTCTGTTCTTATCTCCTCCCTCTGCAGCTCTCCAGGGCAATCTCACCCACATCCAGCCTTCACACACACACACACACGCCTGTCTCCGGCCCAGCCCAGCCCTCTCTCCAGACTCTCTCCCCCATCTCCGCTCCAGTAGCTCACAGCCATCTCAAATTCAACACGTACAGACTTACTTGCCTCTTGCCGAATCGGCACTGGGACACTCCGGGCATCCAGCCTGGAGATCTGGGAGACACCGAGAACCCCTCATTCCACCTAGTCATCGTGACCAAGTCCTGCTGACTGACCCTCAATCTCTCAAAGCCTGCCCCGCACTGATCCATCCTAATGATCCTAATGGCCTCCTTAGCAGTTTCCAGTCTCAACCTTGCCAAGCCGTCCTCCACTGAGCTCCCAGGGTAGCGCAGCACCAGTTAGGCATCTACACACACTACCTCGAAATCTCACAACATTCCTATGAGTCAGGTATCCGAAACCCATTTTACAGAAACACAGAAGTGTCCTAAAGCTATTGGGTCTGAAGCTATTGGTCAGGACTCAAGTTCACACCTTCTCACCACACAGAGTCTGAAGTAGAAATCCAAAGGACACTTCTCAGGCCCCCCAGCAGCACTGGTGACCACTACTGTTCCTTCTTGAAACCCTCTTCCTGTGGCTTCAAGGATTAATGCTGTCCTGTTCTCCTCCCCCCCCCCCCCTTACTTTTCTGCCTTCAAACAAAGACGTTCGTCTTCATTCCTTGAACATTCGCAGCCCTGAACAATCTTCCCCTGTCCCTCCACGGCTCCTATTTCTACCCTTATATCCATACTTGGAACCTCTCTGCAGAAGTCCACACTCACATCCACTTACTCAGCTGTCCCACAGGCACCTCAGACGACATTTCAAAACCTGAACCCATCCTTCTCCCCAGCCTGCTCCTCCTCCAGGGTGCCCTACCCCAGTGAATGCTCATCCGCTTCTCCACCGGCCTCTTCACCTCATTTCCTCGGCCCCTCCCTCTAATCCACTTCTACCCTGCTGCCAGAGTCATCCTTTAGAACTAAATCTGATTACGGTGCTTCCAGGTTCAAAACCTTTCAACGAGAGACTTAATGTTTTGAATAATTTGAATTTACTAAAGAAAGAAAAAAAAAGTGAAATGCAAATACAGGTAGTGATAAACGTTGGAAACCACGAAGTATTATATGAACTTGTCATTAATATTCGTTGAATTAAAGTAAAAAACAAAACCCAACTCAAACCAAGACCGATGCTGTCCAGGTGATTCTCCTTTAACAGCTGCCTAGCGCTTCCTTTGACGGAGTCCACACTTCTGGCTTCGAAGACTCCTCTTGAACCACGTGGCTCCCCCTTGTGGGTCTGGCCTGTGCCCTCACCCCCCTCCCTCTTACCCCCGCTGCAGTCACAGTGAGGACTCTTCCTCTCACCGCTGAACACGCTCACGTGTGGTCCCTCTGCCCTAGCTGCAGCTGAGCCTAATCCATCCCTGGGGGCCTCCGCTTAGACCTCACCTGCTCTGGGAAACCCCCCTAACTCCCCGGATCTGGGTTCGGGGCCCCTCCTCGGTGCTTCCCCGGCATGTGTGCCTTGTTTATTTGCCCCCTTCCCTCAGCACGGAGAGTCCAGGACAGGAGAGGCTGTGGCTCCAGTCTGTCCTGACAGGCGTTTCGCCAGCGCTGATGGTGGAGCCCGGTGCACAGCAGCGCTCGTCAGTGATGAAGAAATGAATCTTGTCATCTAACAGGACACCTGCGCGTGGCCCTCCCTTGAGCACAGCCCCACAGGATAAAGCTCAGAGGTTCGTGCCCGGCTTGGAGGGCCCTGAATGCCCTACCCCCGGACAGGGTACGCTCCCACACCTCCCTCCAGCCCTCTGCTCCAGCAATGCCCACAGGTATTGTATTTGTTTTAAGGGCTGTAGTCCTCCCCAACCCCCACTGCAGGAACTATCTTCTTTGTCTTTATTTTCACAGCACAGTGTTTGGACATATTATTGGCTAAATAAACATTTGTTGAATAAATGCACTCTTCAGAATGGAGCCCGTATCTTTTTTAACTTTGTAATTCTCCACAGTGCATTAGCACAGAGCAGATGCTAAACAAACACCATCCGTATAAAGATGAACCCCAATATGTGAAAACAGGTAACACAGCTGCTAGAAACCCCCAAATAGAATGACACTCTTCATTTTGAATGGTCTTAAGGTATTGTCGGTGGTAGATGACACATCCTTGAATGGTTGACTTGATATTTTAAAACAGCCTCAAAGTCACTCAAGACAAAGAAACCAAAAACCAAACTTGAGCCGTGGAGTCTACTCCAACTCACAACAACCATCTAGGACGGGGGAGATCTGCCCCCCTGGGTTTCCAAGGCTTTTATCTTTACAGAAGCAGACTGCCACGTCTTTCTCCCGGGTTTGAACCCCTGACCTTGTGGTTGGGAGGCTAGCGCTCTAACCGCTGCGCCACCAGGGCTGCTAGTCAAGATAAACAGGATGCGTCATTCATTCGGGGCGGCGCCAGTACACAACCAAACCACACACCTGCGCACAAGGCAACGAGCGGCACTGAAGCAGCTCACAAACTAGTTCCAAGGGTAATTCGTACTTCCCCCCCTTTTTTTTAAAAAATGTACTTCAGGTGAAGGTTTACAGAATAGTTTCTCATTAACGTACTTCCCTCTTTAAAAAAAAAAAACAAAACCTACATCCAATTCAAATCAAGGGTCCAGAGCCAGAAGGCCCCGGTAAGCAGGAAGCATGATAGCAAACATGCCGACGTAGAGCCGCCGCCTCAGCCTCTTTAAGGATTTTAAAGAAAATCCGGCCCCTCCCGCCTCCGCGGGTCGCCCCACACCAAGCCCGCAAGGAGAGAGCGGCCGCCGCCCGGGGACTTGGCCCTCTCCCGAGTCCCGCGGGCGCAGACCCACGCCGGCCTCCACCTCCTCCACGCACGCACCAGCCCCGCCCCGCCTCCACCAATGGCGGGCCGGCGGCTCGACCGCGGCAGCCAATGCGGACGCCGGGAGGGCGTGGTCTCGAGGCGCCAGGGGCCACACCTTCCCCCGGCGGGCGGGAGACGGACACACCCAGACGCTGCGCTCGCCCCGCCCCCCGCATCGCTCGCCGCTGCCCGCCGGCGCAGTGCGGTCCTGGGCGACTTGGCTCAGGCACCGACGCCTATCACCGAACCCTGAGACGGTCTAAATAGAAATGTATCTGCCCGGGCAGGGAGCCAACTCAAAACAACGTCCTGCTGGGCACGCACCTCGACACACCCCCAAAAACCAAAATCCCAAACCCACTGCCGCCCAGTCGATTCCGACTCCTAGCGACCCTGCAGGACAGAGAAGAACTGCCCCATAGGGTTTCCAAGGCTGCCCCAGGGAGCGGCTGGTGGGCTCGAACCGGCGGCATTTCAGTTCGCAGCCGAGCGCTTAAGCACTGCGCAACCGGAGCTCCGCCACCCCCCAAGGCCCTGGCCATTCCGCGGATCGAGGCAGACACAGCGCCGCGGCCGGCCCCGGGCCCCTCCCTGCCCTTCCCGCCTCCATCCTAGTCAAACGCCCCCTCTCCCGCCGAGCCCCCAGCCCTGTACGATGGGGGCGGGAACGGCTCCCCGAGGGTCGCTGACGCTCGGCCACATCCCCAGTTTCCCTGCCCGAGCCGGCGGTCGCCGAACCTCGGCCCTCCGGGCCCCGCAGCTCACCATGAGCGTTTCCACTCGGTCTCCGACATCTTGAGGCTGCAGCAGCGCCGGCCGCGCCTTCCGAATCATCCGCGATGCGGCCCCTGAGGGCGCGGGGCTCAGGCCCGGCCCGGAGACCGTGGGGAGGCGACGGCCGTGCGACCGTTTTAAATCGGGGCTCTGGTGGGTGTGCTCAGGCAGGGCCAGGCCGTCGGGGGTCCCGGCCTGCGCGTCGCGGCCCGCGCGCTGCTCCCGGCGCCGACGAGGCTGCACTGGAGCGCCTCGCCGCTGGTCGCTCGCCGGACAGACACCGCGTCTCCTGACTCTGGGACCGGAGGCGATGAGGGTGTGTGTATCCGGGGGGTGGAGAAAGCCGAAGGGACTAGGCGCAGAGGTGGGATTTTAGCTTCCGGGGTGGGGCGTTCGTGGAGCGCCCCCTCGTGGGAACGCCCGGGACTGCAAGACCTGCGACCTCCGGCGTCCTGGGCGGGACCAGGCCTCCGCCGGGACGTTTGTCCAAGGGGGAGCCTGTGAAGCTGGCCGTCCCCGTTTGCGAATTAGCCTGCTAGCCCACAATATTTGTCACCCCCGTCAGGGCTCTCAGGCTCTCGCAGTCATCACAGACGTGCGCAGAGCGGCGGAACAGCCCGGGTTCCAGCTCTCAGGGTGAACCCGTGTCCTGAGGGACCTACTCGGTGACCATCTTTGTCGTTTTTGCGCCCTTTGTTGGCGGCTTCGCTGTTGAGCGTGGGCCCGAAGCGTCGTGCCGAGGTGCTGCCAAACGCTCCTAAGCGCAGAAGGCCGCGATGTGCCTCACGAAGGAAACGTGCGAGCTGCAGAAGCTTCGCTCGGGCGTGAGCGACGGAGTCCACGACCCGCTACATCCCGGAGGAGGAGGAGGACAGCCGCCGGTCGGTGCGGGAGGCCGCCCCCGAGAGCGCCGCAGTCCCGGCCGTCGAGTGTTTGAGGAGGCCATGGCGGGGAGGGAGAGGCGCCTCCACCTGTGGCTTCCAAGATGGCGGCGGACCGCCGAGGCGCCGTGGACGGCGTGGTGGTGAGGCGGGAAGCCGGAGAGATTAACAGCCCCGTCGAGCCTTTCTGGGCCAGCGCTGGCTGCCTCGTGCATTGCAAACGGCGACACGGGGCGAGGCTGCTTCCGCCTATCAGGAGGCCGCGGATGAGTTTAAAAAATACCTGCTGGACGTTATACAGGAGAAGGGTTATGTGGAAGATGAGGTTTTCCACGCTGACGAGACTGGCTTGTTTTACGAGGACGTTGGCAGACGAACGTATAGAATGCAGACGGCCTCCAAGGCCCCTCACTTGAACCGTTCAGAGACTGCACCCTTGCTATCGTGCACGAATGCTAAGGGCGACTTTAAGTGCAAACCGCTAATGGTGTACAGAGCTCCAAATCCACACGCACTTAAACGGAAAAACCCGAACTGTGTGCCAGTCCATTGGAGATGGAACAAAAAAGCATGGATGACATCCGAAATATTCTGGGACTGGTTCCACAACTGCTTCGTCCCAGGAGCTGAACGCTGTCTCCAGGGCAGAAACCTTGTCTTCAAGGTTTTTATTAATTTTGGATAATACCCCAGTCCATTGCCATGAAGAACTGGAAGATGCCCACCCCAATGTAGTTCTTTTCATGCCCCCAAACACTACGTCTCTCATCCAATCCCTCTGTCAGGGCATAATAAAAGCTTTTAAGGCGCACTACATGAGGGAGCTTTATAGCAAGGCTTGCGAGGCTTTCGATGCCGACAAGGAAGCCACCATGTTGGATTACTGGAAGTCAGTCACTTTAGGCAACGTTATTGATTATGTCGGCACAGCATGGGACAGCATCAAGCAGGCTACTGTCAACAACGGTTGAAAAATGTTTGGCTGGACTGCGTGAAGAACGTCAAAGGTTTTGAAGGAGTTAAA